CATACAAAAATAAAATTTTAGCCATTAATTTGATATAGGTGTATATTATATATATATATAGAATATAAAGGTTTGATGGTCTTATACTAATTGGGTTCAAGTTGTTTATATATAATAGCCATAGTATGTACCCATCAGCTATATGTATCGTCTCGATTACCAGCCGTAGATAACCTGATCGTTGCAGGCTTTATATTTTATACAGAAATACGTATTAATTCGGGTTCTAACTTTAATGAGTATCCTACACGTGCCAATTATATTCTGGTGCTCGGAACTCGTCTCCCCGGTCTATACAGCTAATCGAAAACGTTAACTCTTTCGGTTTGTTATATGAAATATAACATATAAATAAGTTATTATAGTTCTATACTGTTATAAAAAAATAATATTTAACTAAATTTTTTTTCAAACAATTTTATAATTCCGAATCTTACTATTTGTAATTTTTTTTGGATTTTTCTATATTTTTCTATATACTTTCTAAATTTGTCTACCTATACTATGATAATAATCATGATTTTGGGGCTTAACTATGCCATACCAACAAGTGAGCCTATAAATATGAGCGGAATAATTGTAAGTGTGTGAAATATGTAAACTTTGATGGTTAACTTCCTATGTAGGCTATAGGTGTTTATTAGTTATTTGGTCTAAACGTATTCCATCAGTTTGGATCAAACAGGTTATGTTTTGATCGGTCTATATTTAACTTCAAACGTTCTTCTCCTTTAGTCTTTCAGTTTTTAATTGGGCAGACGTAGTGCTGATACCTACGTAATAATCTTCTAAAATGCAACCATTATTGATATTTACGCACTAATCATGAAAGTGGCTTCTGAACTTATTTTCAAAAATTATAAGTTATTGAGCAATGAAATACATCAGAGTAGGTACTATTGTCGACTTTTTTGATACCCTTGATAAAAATGAATTCAATAGTTCAGTAAGATATCTGCAGGTACTCGCCCATAAAATGTTATCTATACAGAAATTAGTTGTTGATTAATATGATATCAGTAGGTACAATATTATTATTCTAAATAATGTCAAAATTGTCTAAATATGTGAAAAAATGGAATTATTGTAAAAACATTTACTTATGCAAAAATAATATGTAAAATAAATTAAAATTTATCAAGTTGGAGTGAAAGTTTACACCTATTTATACATGTTAGATGTAATTTGTGTTATTAGTAAATAATAAACAAATTAAGAAGTCTGTTGCGTTTACCTGCTAATAATTATTTAGTCTAGATTATACCTATCTATATTATATCAGTGTTGGGCAAAACAACTGCCTTCGATTAACCGATGGTTAAATTTATTATAGATTATGCGTTATATAATTTAAAAAGGTTTTTATTTCAATAAAAAGTATACATTAATTTAATTTGGTAATGTAGGTCAATGTCATATATTTATTGATAAAAAATAATGCTAAACTAAAATTTGGTATAAAAACTATAGAATTCAATTAATATTGATTAATATTTAATATTAGTATTGGACAATGATTGAATTCAGTCTAAATCTGTAGTTTTTATTCAGCAAATAAAATATAATACTTCAAGAATCTTAAACCTTTAGTATATTAACAAATTCAATTAAAGTTGCAGAAATTGGTGAAATTCATACATTTCAAATCATAAAATAAAGTAGGTATAATCTTTCTATAAGCGGATTATTGATTAATCATTTGTGAGTCATATTGTCATATAGTCTTTTTGCCCAACACTGGACAATATTAAATTGTTATTCGAATGCATACCTAATACCTATATACACATAATATTATAATACCATGTACAAACAAACCGGGCTTGGTAAACATCAAGTTAAATACAACGCGCGTATATTGCCAACAATACCTGCAGCACTGCAATTTATTAGTCTCGAAAGGAAATCCGTATTGACGCGTGAAGGTTTTCGGAAAATAAAATTGCAGTAATGTAAAATATGATAAAACTATAATAATATGTGTACACAATTTATCACGAATATAATATTATTATACGACCAACCACGCCGAATAAGGATTATATCTATTATTTTTGAACAACTGTCAGGGCGGTGTGTAAACATAAAATATATACACGCGTAACCGTCAACTTTATTTATTTTTTTTTATCGTTTCCAGCGCACATACAAAGCGAGAATAAACATCGTTTGCTCAAGACTTGCACAACAATCATATATTATAGCTGGTATTATCATACTGCTTGCACCTATATTATACTAACACTACCGGCGAAAGTCGGACGTTTCCTGATTTTTTTGATTTTTTCCTTTCTAAAAAAGGGATAAGTTATGTTTTTATTTTTTTATATCTTTTCGATAAATCGTGCTTTGTGTAAAATACCTATATTATGTCTATTCTCGGCGCATTCGCTCGGTCTGCGGTACAATGGAAATTACATTATATTATTATCTACCGGTGGGTGAAATCACCCATATACCTTTGTATTATGTACCTCCGACCGCGGTAGTACACGCGTTAACGTTGGTATATATATATATATACCTTGGCATATATAGTAATACCCGGAGTGCACATAGTGCACACAGCCACAGACGTCGAATATAATAATATTCATTCATTGAGGGTATAATATGACACATATTATTATGGACGTTATCTTCAATGAGCTGTGATCTGAGTGCACTGCGTATTGTACAAATAATAATAATAATAATAATAATAATATAATATTCGCGTTGAATATATAATATCATTCACGTACATTATATATACGAAACATCAACGGAGTCGAAAAGGACCACCGGCTGGCACGACGGACGTCTATAATAATAATAATAATAATAATAATGTGTTACACCATTACACGTATTATACATATACGAGTACTGTGCACCTATATACATATGTAGGTGCAACCTGTTGGCGAGCGGTCGAATTCACACGGTCCGATCCACCGCCGCCGCAGCACCGACCTCCCCTTCGAAATAATATGCACATCGTCGGTAGTCGAGAATAATGAAACATCGCGTACAGCATAATGTTAGACACATACACCCGCGTTGTTTGTTCCGATTTATCCGTCGTCTTCCTGGTAACGATAATGCAAAAAACCACAATTTAAAAAAAAAAAAAACAATAATACCGATTGTACACCTAACCTATAGGCTCATGATAAATAGGTTTTCTCGCGGATATGTTTACTTAAGGGTTTATAATGTACCTATACGTATAATAACAATATTACATATAATAAGTCGTGTAACGGAGATAAATATTTGCACAAGCCGTGTCCGGACCATAATATTTAGACGTACCTATTCAATGCCCGTTCTATGTCCGCATTCTGTGTGCGGCATAATCATATTATTATTATATTGTTGTATTGATGTGTATAATACTGTAAGGTATGCGTATAGCTGGTAAACGGGAAAAAAGTCACCAATATTTTATTAAAAATATGTTATACGTTTCGACGTGGAAAGAAAATAACTATTAATTTGTGTGAATTTATATACCTAGGATAATAATTTAGCGCATTTAAAAACTTCTTTGTTTTTCAAAAATTTATTTGCTCAATTTTATACCTCAGTGATTTGTTATATTGAAATATAAATATTTAAAAAAATATATTATAATGCTTGAATCCAGCTCATTATGAAATTGTCCACATACATTTCTTAACCGAATTATCATGCATGATCTTCTCTCTATGAAGAGTTTTATAAGTAAATTGTGCAATTTTATAACTAAAATCTTTATCATTAGTACCTTAATAAATGGGCAGATACCTACGGTTATTTCAGTTTGCGAAGTAACCAATAAAAATAATTTTATCTTAATATTATAGTTATACTCGTTCTTTCGATTTATACTTTATAGCTTATACCTATCGTCTTAATAATCATATAATTATTATACTAAACAGTTGCAATGACACACATTAAAAATACAATTGTGTATTTCATTTTTGACTTGTGTATGAGTTATGAATTGGAATATAGTAATAATATTATATTATACAAGCTGAACCCGTGCACTACATTGCCCCTTAAATGTACCAACTCTATATAACTCAAACTTTGTTCAATATTTAATATTCGGTGTATGGTGTTTAAAATTAATCTAAACGTTTCCGTTGGAATAAAAATTCTGATTCTCAGCAGTAAATTATCAGGTAGACAATCTACCTGCGGTAGATCGCGGACCCCTAGTTTGTAAGTGTATGATTTAACTCTAAAGAATCAAAGTTATATCAAGTTTGTCGTATTCTACCTATGGTGGATTAATATAATCAATTAATACAAAATCCTAACCTATAACCTGTTGCGTCACTGTTATATTTTTGACATCCACATTTCCTACTTTTCAGGTGGATTTTCCTAAAATGTTGTTCATATTAACCTTCTCCTTGATAATATACTCTTTAGTTAAAGAGATTTAAAAAAAAATCAAGAAGATCTGATAAGTAGTTCCAGAGTTGACCCTGTACAAAGATTTTCATTTCACATTTACATTACTCTGTAATCTGTAATCTTACAGTTAGAGTATACGTATAATATATTGACAAAAAATAATAATACAAATCAACAAAGGTGCCCTTAAATAATAGCAAGCAATATACAATACACTATTATTAGTTTAATCCGAAACGTAATTTTTTATTATTATTATTTATTATTTAGTGTGCTCTTAACAGACCATAACTCTGGAACAGAGTACAAATTTCACAGAAACCATCTACATATCAATCTTAATATGCCCTGAAATTTTTATCGAAATCGGTTTGGTGGATCTTGAGTTATAAAATGTATTCAAAATGTACACTTATTTTTATATATAATATAGATAATGTACATATGCGTATTATTCATGATTTTTTCATTGGCCACATAACAATACTTAAAAAAAAAAAGAAAAGATATGGAGTACTTTTTATTGAATTATTATATAATGGGATGTTGGTATAGGTACTGTTATAATAACATTAAATAATATGCACTGGTTGATATTCTTACAGGAAGAACCGGTGACGTGGATGTGCCGTCGGAACCGGGCATAGTCATATCCAGAAAACAGAGAAGAGGAAGGACAGCGTTCACGGCCCAACAACTGGAAGGTTTGGAAAGGTCATTTTTGGCTTGTCAGTATCCGGATATAGCGGCCCGGGAGACTCTCGCCGCAAAATTCGGACTTCCGGAACCTCGAGTTCAAGTAATAAAGCTACCCATATACACTTATATGTACTCCATAATATTATATGGAACAACAGTGATAGATGAAGTAGTGTTGATCACTATTATGAGTGCCGCTGGTCATCAACTGGTGGGAGTGATAAGCTTTTCATAATTTAATATATATATTATATAAATCCAAACCCCCAGTTGCTCCCATATAATATAAGTCGGACTTTAACGAGGTCATTGGTCAACTTGGTGTATAGTTCAAATCAAAAGTATTTCATTCAATGTACGAAGCAAAATATATTACACCATAAACATAATAATAATAATAATAATCATAAATCAATTTAAAAAAAATTGGTAAGTTTTTATTTATCAACTTTCTTTTGGTTCTCAAATAATAAATATAATAACTAAAATGGGTCGTCCCATAACTAATAATGACTAATGAGGCTGAAGACCACTTCAAATGTAGAACATTAATGTCATGTTGGCTTCGTCATAAAAATATAATATTTGAGAGAGTTTTTTTTAAAATTTAATCTCAAATCGTCACCCGACTGCTATATTTAAATCACTGAACATATTATTTTGAATACGTCAAGACGTTTACAATCGAATAAGTGAAGCTTCTAACTATATAGCTTATATAAAATATTATTTTCCGTATCTTTTTAAAATAGGTATTGAAATAATATATGGCTGTATAGTGTATATTATTATAATATTTACTTGCATGTGTGATGCTTCATAATATATAACGTAATATGACGTAATCATTTTATATGTTTGAATGATTGACGTTAATATCGAAAATATATTTAACAAGCGCTGCGCGTATTTATATTGTTATTGCTTCGGTTGGATAATCAAATTTTTACTATTTTATTTTAAATTTACTAGAAAATTATATACGACTTCTGTTCTCGGAATATTAAAAAGGCCTTTTAAATTTGTTTAAGGTGTGGTTCAGCAATCGGAGAGCGAGATGGAGGAAACAGAATAGTTCCAACGTACAGCACAACATAATCAGCAGCAATTTTTCTGAGAACCTAAACACACCTTCCTACACTGGTAATTTCTATAATACATTATAGTCATTATACAATTTTACAATTTACATATATGTTTTGTAACACCGACGACGTCTAATAAATTTAAAAAATAGATATCGTATTGGCGAATGTATTAACTCTTGGATCATTACGGTAGGTACTATGATGGCAGATTACCCACTGAAATTTCATATAGGTACCTACTGTTCATATTTCAAACAATGATTGATAATATATAATAATCAATAGGTACCCATACTGTTTTAGTGTGGGAATACATTTTAACGCTTAATGTAGAAATTTAAAAACCATTATTTTATATGTTATGAAGACGTGTTTGTTTGTAAACATTTTTATTTAAAGAAATTTCTTAGATTTTAAAGGGCCTTACATATCTAATATTATTGGTAAAACTAGGGACTTCTAATAAATATCATATTTTCATTTGATATGGATGAATGCATACCTAAGAGCTACACAAAATTGCTTTCATCTCATAGAGTTAATAATTTAAATTGTGTTTTGCATGTTTGATCCTTTTTCACTGAAAAGTGTATTTATTATAAGAATAACGCTGAACGACTTTTAAAAAATAGTATATACAAGATAGGTAAAACATTCTGGAATAATCATTCTATTGTTTTAGATAAAAATATAAAATAGTATGAAAAAAATAATTATTAATTCATAGCATTATACGGCTACTATTCTGGTGGAATAAAATCTTGAAAATAAATTTCAACAACTTATCATAAGGTCTATATAATATTATTATTAATTCAAATACATTTTGGTATGTACCTATTATAATATGGTACCTACATTTAAAAATACATATTTTTTAATAATTAAATTAGATAGATTAACGCGTTAGGGACTTATAATTTTTCTTGCCAATTATTCGACTTAAATATTATTATAGTGGATAATATATTATAAATTATAATAGTAAGTTGGTTGTTGTAAATCGCGATGAATAACAACAGTATGATTATATTAATATATTAATCATAATATATACACATCGTATCTAAGGCTATTTAAATACGATTGAAATTATTTATTACATAATTATATATTTATGACATATAATATTCCCAAATTTTTTTTCTTTTTGTTAAATATTGAAAAAAACGAATGTATGGTATCGTATATTTTTATATATTTAACCTATGAATAATAAACATACGTAATTGAAAAAAAATATGATTTCATGTCGATTCAATTTTGAATACATTAACATCTGTTCGTGTATATTGCCTCAAACAAAATCACGAAATACATCATTCACTAAACCAAATTTTTAACATTTTGTTATTTCTAGTTTATGGGGGCTTAGTTTGTTTTCTGTCTATGTTTAAAAATATTGATTATTTTACTGATTTCCAATATAATATTAGGTCACTTATTACCACCTACTCTTACTTTAGTACTTCGGTACTTTTGTTACCTAAAAGTACCTTCTCATTATACAAAGTTACATACTATTTATTATAAACGATACACTTCCGTGAAATTATAATATTCAATTTGACTATAATCGTAATTATCCTTATATACCTATTAGGTCCAAAGTATATACACAATATGTCAATATAATATACGTAGAACAGCATTATAGATTTGGTTTTTCGTAAAATTGACATTGTGTTTTACCTGTATAGCCTGTTTTTCCTTAATGGGGAAACACTCTATGATAGTTGAAAGTTTTTAAACATTACACTTACAAATTAAAACTTTAAAGTTATAAATGTCATTAAATTATCAACACGTAAGGGATTATGATGTTAATATGATAACTAATATTGATGAATAAATACAATTTGATTGTAGGTATGCCCGAAAGTAGTTAAATATTAGCAGCAGTACTGTAGTTGACAGTGGTAGTATTTTAAACTATTACCAAATTATTATAATATTAACTCTTATTAGTCGTAGGTATAATGACAAATCCAATTAAGCGAATAAACGTAATACGTAACTATATTAAATGAAATGCATACGTGTTAAATAAATTATAGATAATATAATATTATAATATTATTATAGGTAATCTTCATAAACTTTAATCACCGGTTGATCCACTGCAAATTTCGTAATTTAAAATGTAGAGTCTTCTACCCTCTGGTGGGCAAAATAACAATATTACCATAGGGTTGAAGGTTTTAGTTACCGACACCACCGTGTACTTACAACGTGACCTGGTGATGTTCGATGTCAGTTGGTGTCTGCGATTATAGGCGTATAGATAGCGCCACGTGATGCGATTTTGGTCGATTTAGTGACTCGATTTGACGGGACGTTCCAAAAACATTTGAAGAATAATATTATTATTTTATACGGTTGTGATTTACGTAATGTATTGTTTTATTCTGACGATTATTATACATTTTTTCTAGGCACAGCTGATTGGAGACTTCAACCTGGCGTTCAGTACAACGGTTACTACGACGGGTCTGCGTGGGACGAATACCAGCAAACGGCACGGACCAACGCGGCCCACCAATACGGAGACATGTTAGAAAATTTTTATAACTACTATCAAAACCCTTACTAGCGAATTTTTACAAAAATATGCTGTGTACATACATTTTTCATCAAATTTGAATAAATTATGTGATATCATAATAATAATAAATTATTATAATACCATAATATTATTCTCTAAGACCATTGATGGAGCAAAAATTTCGACTATTATTCATAGATACGTCATGATACATCTAATTTAGATGATATTAAAATAAATGCCCTGATAATATTATGTTTAAAACGAAATTCAAAGGGTGGACAACATTGTCTTACCATGTTATAACTTATAAATTAATAATTTATGTACAACTCAATACATAGGTATTTTGTGAATTAAAAGCTTAACTATAATATTATGATCTCAATGTGTTTTGGTTTTAAATTTATTTCACTTTACATAATATAAATATCTAATTTAATGTTTGTAATTTTCGAAATAAATTAATATTGTCACGGTTTGATCTAAGTAAAAGTGTCTATTATAAACGTAAACATTATTTTGTAGTAGGTCGATGAATTTTTTTAGTTAAAACTCAAATAATTTCAAGATAGGTGGTTGGGTGATTTAAGAAACAATAAAAATAATATTTTATATTATAACGGTTAGGGGTTTTTTGGCGTGTAACTATATGTACTATATAGAGTATGACATAATATTTAATGTTGAAGTTTTGTATATAGTTGTACTTAAAGTTTGTTTTTGACAGTGCTTGAGGACAATAATATGTAAGTATACCTATACTATGGCTATACTTTCACCGGATCTTGCCCTAAAAACAATTATTATACGTCTAGGTCACACATTTAATATTATTATCGTACCAAGAGTTCGGAGGACGACAGTGACGCCACAGGGGGGGTGGGTGTTAGAGGCCACGACTCCCCTCCCTCTCGGAAATGTCTTGAATGAAAACGTATTTATTCAAAATGCCACTATTATCTAGTTGTATCAAAGTATTATACAATTTCGGTTAAATTATTAGGTAAATTAAATTATTATTAATCATTTTTTATTTGCAAAACCTTCTCCAAAAAAAATCCGATGTGTGGTAAGGTGTGTAACTGACAAATGGTGTTCTAATGATGCTTCTCACGAATACTTTTATGATTGTTATGAGTTATGACGATCAAGTGACGTTCAACGAATTATGCTTACTAAAAATCGTGAAATTATATAGCAGGAGACGTATTTACTGGTTGGAAAAAAAACTAACAAAGTATTAAAATAATAGAAAAATGTTTTGTCAAAACGTCGAATATAATTTTTTTTAATATATTGTAAGTACCTAACGTAAGCAAATAATATTTATCAATAATAGTTCCTTCTGTACGAAGTATCGACTATTAATATGTACAATTCTTTACCCCCGATCGTGCATAGGTTATGGCAACTTCATCTACACCCACAGCACGGGTGGTTAGGTTAAGGGGTTTATTGCATTTTACCGTGTTTTATGCAGGACTTGAAACTGATATTGTATAACGATTTTAAATACCGGTTAAGACCTTTGAAAATCGAAATCGATATCGAAACTGAAAACCAAATCGAAAAACATCAATACCGGTAAACAAAACCGAATTTAAAACGAAAAAAATTAATAGCGATATTTAAAACGAAATAGGAAAAAATAAATACAGATATCTGAAACCGAAATAAAATGTTTTCGGTTTCAAGTCCGGTTTCATAGGATAACAATAATTTAGGAAAACTGATAGGACAGGTAAACGAAAACGAGTGTGAATGTTTATTGTATATAATCTGGAAATGATATCGACCATGGATGAATGGTATATTTTCAAACATATTATCCACTCAAACAATAATATTATAATATAAAAAGATTTTATATTGCCCGTCTAAACTGCGTATGACTTATAACTTTGGCATCTCACCTTCACCACCGCTAGAACTTTAAGTTACAAAAAGCCTATTGTATATAGGTATGAAAAATAGCTTTGATTAAGACATACAGAAAACTCATTAACATGAACCCAAAATCCGTTTTCAAAATTAAAATCTGTCAAACTTTAGGCCTATAACTGACGGCGGTCACTCGCGGGTGTGTTAATAATAGTATTATATGGTATAAACAACACCTTTTTGTTTCAATGATTGCAATATGAGTTTTCTTAATTTTTATATTTATTTCAATTTATGAACCACAAGCGTCGCATAAACCTGAATTGGTTTGCAAAAAACTTTTCAGGCGGGTGGGAAGAAGTGGGTGATGAGAATGTGTGGTTATGTGAAAATGATATTATACAGAGTGATTTACCAAATGTGTTCCCAATTTTTTTCGTTAATAATAAAATTATTCAAATTATGATTTTTACAACTTATTGATATACCTTCTTACTTGTGAGCCATGTGAAAACACTATTTGGATTTTTTACATCATTTATTAAGTGTCAAATGGCAATGCTGATTTCTTTTTTTCACTAAAGAATTACCCTCTTTTACTGTAAATTGTTCAAACCCGATAACTTTTTTAAAAATATCTAAATATAAATTCTAACTTATAGTTTTTGAGTTATTTAACTTTGTTTATTACTATGGATAATTTATAGGTCCATGATTATGGGCTTAAAAAATATGGGTGCTGTATATACAGTGATTTGAAAACTGGAGTAATTAATAATACTCCACATAAACATTTTATAATCTGTAAAAAATGTCTGAGTTTAATAAATACGCCATATCTAATATGAAATTTTGTTTTATATTTTTGAAAAACTATAAGAACTATTATCCTTAATATGTAGTATGCGTACATATTAATAACTAAGAAGCTCCTCCGTTCAAATGTTGATCGACATTTTCAAAAAACCTAAACTAATCCTAAAACTAATTTATAGCAAAACCGTTCTCGTTTGAAAAAAACAAATTGTATATCCTCAGAACACTCCTTGTTTAATGGTGTAAAAACTACCATAAAGGTTTGATTAAAAATTTGACAAATTTATAATAATTTGAATAAATTCGTTATAAAAAAAGAAAAACGTGGGTGAGCGTGCTTTAGGCGAATCGCCCTGTATAATATATTATTATAATATAATGGAGCGTGAAGTCGGTGTAAATGAAATTAATATGTCGCGGCTAAATCGATATCGCGAAATAATTATTTATTACGATGTTTGTGGAATAAGTTCGGCGTGTAATAATATTTTCTGATGTTTTTGCTCCGAACGTGTACTATAATGTTGTTATTATAGATTCAACCCGTCCGCCGCCGCTGTGGCTTACGGCGCGCACAACGAATTTGCGGCTAACCCGACCAAACTGCGTGTGCCGCCGACCCTGCCGCCACCTCCGCCGACGACACAGCCGCCAACCGCCACCTCCGCCGCAACTTCCGCCGCCGCCTCCATGGGATACCATCAGCCGCCGACCGCGGCGGTCAGTCGCTGGACGGAATTCGGCAAACCCACCGCCGCCTCCACGGCCGCAGTCGACTACCCGGTGGCTTCTTATTTCAACAACAATTTATTATGATATTGTTATCAAGAACTTAACCGTAATAATAATAATAATAATAATAATAATTGTATGTACAATATCGACTATGATAAAATTGTGACCAACGACGTTACCACAAGTCTTATACCACACCGACGACTTATAATAAACGTTCATTAGATGCCCGCTAAAATGCATCCTGCACGTCCCGAGTGTAATATTATATTGTCTATTATAATAATATTATGTATGGCGATAATTCAACGAGAGAGCTCATCCGGATTTTTCTTAAACCATAGTTCATGCAAATTTTGATTTTTTGAATTCTTGAGTACCAGCCTATAATATCAATATAATATAATATCAAATAAGTTTTCAATAAAGACCCTATTTTTAATTACCTAGAATTTAGATACAATATTTAAGTATATATAATATATATAGTGTCATATTACCATACAAAGAAAAACCAACCTTTTTCACTATAAATAATTATTGTGAAGCAGATAATTAATTTGAAAAATGCTGATATATCTAAATCGAAATTCGAATGAGTAATTTTGAGTAATTGAAATTTGGGTACCAACATAATATTGTGGTATGATAATAGATTTGGGAAATAAAGGAAAGCTATGATGATTTGAAAACTATACAATTGTAAAATTATAAAAATACGAGTATATGTATTTTCATTTGTTTAATAAGTATAATAATATAAATATATTTAATATTTGATGTAAATTTAAACTATTAAATACTATTATCCTTTGTATTATACATACATTTCAATAACTCAGGAAGTATTCGTTTGAATTTTGATTTATATATTTTTTAATGCCCTTGACTCCGACAACATGCCAGGCAATTCCCTAAGGAGGTTTCAGAGGAAATGGTATAGAGACTTACTAACATAATTATAAAAAATAAATAATAAAAAATAATAATCAAATGAACAAATATAATAAATACATATTCTTATATAGCACGTCCAAAGTATTACTACTGGGTAATTCCTTTAATCATACACATCATTCATGTTTCCTACTTCAAATATGCTTATTGTAAATAAATCTTTATAGATTGTATAATTCAAATATATATTATAAACCTTAACGCATCTAAATTTTCAAAAAAAAAGAAATAATCTTCTTAACAATTTAATGTAGAGCTCTCAATAAAAAAAAAAAATAAATTTGTATTTCTGCAGGACACTTCTTAAATTCAATAAAAAAATCCAAGCATTGGAAAATATGATCCTACTCAGTTAACTAGGTGTTCGTAATAGATCCGAAAATCATAAATTGAATAAAAACATTATTAACAGATAAAAGAGGGGTGAGCCGTGTGCTCGATGAATCATCCTGTATGCATTTAACTGCCACCGATAACTTTTTTTTATTGATAACAAAATATCATAGCGACATTTTTCTATCCGATAATATTGATCTATCTTGTTTTTTACTTTGTTATATTAACAACGACAGACCGTTTATCAGACAATATATTAATAATAGCGTCGTATAATAATATATAAATCTCGTCTTGCCTTTTATATGCCTAGGTATTTTAATAATAATATTAGATACCACGCGATCAAAACAATATTTGTACAGTTTTAACAGACACCTTGTTACCTTCAAAATATATCTTTAAATATCAAAATTATTACGCAACTTTTGCAGTTTATTCTTCAGAGCTAATCCGAAATTGTTTGTACTGGTTTTATATATATATATATATATATATATATATATAAACATGGTCACCCTAACATTAAACCATACATCCTATTGCTGTACGGCATTATATCATAACGACACCGACTTAACACGAAATGCACTCATAAACATGTGCGTTGAGTGATGTTTTTCTAGCGAAAACGCTAGATCGAAACACCCCCCCCCCCTACTTACTCAAAATTTCCCACTTAAGTTTTCCACCCCCTGAACGGCGTCGAATCGTAAAAAAAAGTTTCGTACTACGTGTTTTCAAAGGCGTCGACCGATATATTGAAAAAATAAAATCATCGTTGGCATGTTACGACGATACTGCGCCATAGACTTTTGTTTCTTCTCCGCTTGTGATATATAACTACGGAGTACCACATGATAAAATATTGTATTAATATTGTTGTTCGCAAGTTATGATGTTATTGTCCGTGATTTATCCGTGCGAAATCGAGGCTTGGCCTATTTCGAATAAAATTTTACGTAATGCAGCAGGTACATTGCAACTGATTATACAATAATAATAATTGTCATTGTAGAGGCACACGCGGTATAGATTATTATAAATTATTATTATAGAAAATAATAATAATTATTTATCATATTAGTTTATCGTCTGTTCGTACGTATTGTAATAAACACAAATTAATACGAGTTTTTATTTTCTGTCCGACACGATATTGTTAGACGGTGATGTGACCAACCAAACTTGGAGTATTTGGGATTCGGTCCAAAAAAAGAACTGAAAATTGAAAATATATTTTGAACTAAACCAAATGCGCAAAAATAATATTAAATAATAGTTTGATTATAGAATTTACAGTTAAGTTTAAAAAATTATATTTAAATATTCATCAATTATTTGGATAGGTAACCCATAATATTATTATTTATTAATACTTGACCCAATTAAATGTACGTCACATAGTTACGAGAAAGAAATGCTAATAAATATCCATGTAATATTATATATCACTCAAATCAACCAGCATTTAAAATTGTTTTAAACTTTCTGTTCGATTTAAAATTTGAATGATTCAGTCGTACTCAAAAATCAATGTTTGTCAAACCACTATAATTATAATCGTCAGACTATAATGTCCAGAAGGCAATAATAATAGTACATAGTATGACATTTAGTACTTAAATTGTAGACTAGTTATTATTATTTAGATTAATTAATTTCATAAAATAGATATTATCAAAAATATACTGTACATAATATATAGGTACCTATTATATTTGATTTATATTTTAAATGTTTGTATTGATCTAAAATAAATATATGATAATGTTCAAGCCGTTGTACAGTAGAAACGATGTGGGAATTCGTGTACATCTTTGTGAGTAGATATTCGTCGCATCATCTACCTATTATATACCTACCTACTACAATTATATACCTGAACCGTGTTTGTGGCACGTTATCAAAAATGTTCACATTATAATACAGATATATTAGTTGGCATATTTCATACAATCATAGGTACAGGAGGAAATCCGTTACAATATTATATTGAGATTTGAGGTAGTATTTTATAAAATGTTTAAACCGTCGGCCCTTCTCTTGTTTTATTATAACATTAATAATTGAACACGTATGAGATTTATATTAACATATTCTTTTCAAAAAGCGATGTGCGCCAATAGTGTTATATTTTAAGACGGTTTTATTAAAAACGTTGTTAATGCTACAAAATCGATACATGCGTTGTACTTCGGTATTGTAGTTGGCAAGTGTTCATTAAACAATCCGATCTTGGCTGTTTTTCACTAGCCGCGAGAATTTAGTCTTTAAATAAACACAACAATGAATATTTTATTGCACGCGTATAAATATACAGATTTTAAAACCAATTTAACATTATATTTGGTTAGGTAACTATAATTTATAAAATGTCGATTTTGTGTCAACATTAATGGTCAAAATAATGCTTTGAGCTTACTTTTAAAACCTTTTTAGTGTCCAACTACTCGTCTCTACAGACGTCACAAATTCGTATTTGAATTTAATGACCAAACAAAATATTAACAATGTACTTCTTCTGCTATATTAATTATCAATGAAATCTATTGATTTGCTCCGTATTTGATATTCAATACTCGTGTCAAAATAATCAGTTATTTTCTCATTTAAAATTAATAAATAGGTAAGTATGCATTTTCCATTCTAGGATTTAGCCTCTCTGTTATTGTCTATAATTTATAGACATACCTGTTCGTGTTACACTTTATTCTTTTCCTCACAATTTTAAATAATAATGTCGAAACAACGTCAATATAATATAGAAGCTGTTCGACAAAAAGGATATTTTTCTTCACTATTCATCATTTGCCGAGTTCGTTACAAATAATATTTTAAATTTAAACCAATAGCGTGTGTTAAAATAATTATCCTTTTAATATAGATAATGTTTACTGGTAGCCAAAACAAAGGTTGGAAAACCGAACATTTCGTACATCAAACCATGGATGTTACCAATATAAAATCGTTCTTACATCATTATATTTTACTCCGTTTTTATGCGTTTTAGTTAAGACAATAATTGTTAAAAGTCGTAACCTTTCCTCTACACAATAATAATGAAATACTGTTGTAAATATTATTCGAACTTATATATAATATTTGATAGTTATTTTATATTTCCCAACAAACATTTTACATCAAATTTATTTTTTATAAATATTTTAACCACATAAAATATTAGGTACATGATATCGATTACAATATTACTTCGTGTACCTACGGTTGAAACAGTTATTAAACTCGTAAAATTAATTGCGATCTTAGTGAACTTTAAATTATACAATGCGAATATGAACGAACTGTTCAAACCCTTCAGCGTTGCTTGCGTGGTTTATTATGGCGATAATAGCAAAAACAATAAAAGAACTATCGATTATAACAAAAACGGAAAACTGCTTTTGTACTACGGTATAATAAACATTTGGCGGTGACCGAAGTATAGACATTTCAAGGATGGCGTCGTCATTGTAACTGTTCGACCAAATGCACCAGATCGGGTTCGGTTTTCAAAATGACGACCGCTTCTCCGGTGTAATTCTTGATAATCTCGTCGTAGTTCTGCAGTATAATAATAATAATATTAATAATAATTTGTATAGTTGTGATCACATACTTAGGTATAATATTATGCAACGTATTTATTTTTAAAGATAACATGGAAGACTTCTGTCCAGTGACATAAGATTGAAAATTGTGGGATTCGGGAGGAGCCATATTGAATAAATACATTTTTTCAAATGTTTTTTCCTTCATTGTGCACATGCGCAATACAACTAGCTTTTCTTAAACGGAAATTAAATCCAAAACTGACCGAATTACAATGGGTTAAAGTTAGTTTAAAAATATCTACTCAAAATCGCATGGACATTTGTAAATCATAAGTTAAACAATTTAATAATTTATTAATTTAAACTAAAACTGTAACTCGGTGTTATTTAGCCAATTTTTGTTTTATGAGATCAAACTGACTTACAAATAATTAGGTGTATCCAAACATGGTATTGATAATACGCTTTGACATTAATGGAAAAATGCAAGTTGTATATAGCACTATGACAATTAATAAAGTAGCTACAAGTTTAAAAATCGTCAAAAAAATTGTGGTGTGTGCAGTACTTCCTAGCTTCTCCAGAGCTTCAATCTGGAGGTCACTGGAAAGAAGTATTTCATGATCACATTAAAAGAAAACAATAACTTTTAGTTGTAAAAAATGATATTATCATCGAAACAGTTTCGTAAAAAATGGTGTGCTCGGTTCATTATACTAAAGTCCCAATCCCCTGGGACTCTCGGACTCTATCTATAACTTGTATTAAGCGTGTTTAAAATATTAATTTTTTTTTTTTGTTTATGATTATGTAATGGGGTTCATTAATGTATCATAATTTTTTCAACACAACCCAAATTGGTTATTACTTATAACTTTAAATATGTTGAAAAAGGTGTGTTTTCTTAACAAACCAATGTTATTCAATAAGTATAGAAAAAAATTAAGAAAAAACATAAACATCGATTAAGACATTTATGACATGTGGCTACTGTTGTTATAGATAAAATCAACTGTAGATAATACAATCTCTTAAACTATATAACCACCTTACACATCGTACGAAATATAGTTTATGTTTTAAAAATATAAAGTTTTAAGCAGTATGTCCATGTTACCTTTTATTGCTGCAATGCTGGGCAAAATAATATAAGATTAATATATAATATTATAGTCACTTAATATCTTCGGGACGTAATACATAATGTTAGGTATTAGTGATCACTGATTAGAAATTCATATGAAAAAAATGGGAAGGGGGCTATAAATTGCGAAATGTAAGTAGTATATATAACTATGACCTTTTTGGGGGACACAATTTACCGATTCCGGGAACCATATAAACATGATGTTCATCAATGTCGTACATTTATAAATTTAGACATGTTTGATAAAATATGATGAAACTCATACCCGTCTGTGTTTCTTCCGCTTCAGCTGTCTAAGACCGCGCACCAAGTAGTAGAGCAGTAGGCCCCTGAATCGCGTGATTCCAGGTTCCAGGACGTCGGCCAGCCGCAACAGCTGTTCGCATATGTCTGTATTGTTTTCCAGTTGTTTAGTGGACAGATCTGCACAAAACGTCAACGATACAAAAGAAGACTTTTACATAATGGCTAATAAATTGTCCCTTATCTCAGCATATAAGATACGCATAACAATAAGCCATAATGATATACAGAGCGAGTGATACGACATCGTCCTCACTATACGCTTTATAATTATTATATATTAAAAATAATTTTGTCAATTATATGTCGGGACTTCAGAATAATGAGTTGGGTCCTTTTTGCCTGTTGATTAATTTTAATACGGATCTCTGTAATTGGCAAACAATTCGATTTATAATATATCTACGTAATAGCTGATGATCTTGAATTTTCGTCCTTTCTTTTTCATCGGTTTACAAAACTAAATGTTCACATGTCAATCAGATGAAACTTATTACGGAAAACATACAGGTATAGTGTGCACCAGCCAGCCACTGTAACTATATATACAATTTTTTATAAAATCTTAGAAGTTTTCTGAACAATAAGTAAGTTATTTATACCTATGTATTTGTTAGCATGCTTTTGAAATGTTGATATGTGGAAGTGACCTTTTATTAACCCGGAATATATTTTTTAAGCAAACATTTATATTGTTTACCGTTTTATCTTAAACATTTTTTCTTTAAAATAGGAAACTATTAATTATTCTAGCGCTTTCTCAAGGATTTTTAGTGCTTTTTTAGTACACCTTATCAACCGAACACAGTAGGTACACTAAAATAAGTTACATGATCTACTGAACTACAAAAAAGTGTCGGACCAGCCATACAGCTTACCCGAAATCCGATCAGCGTACAGTTGGGCCAGTGCGTACTTGACGCTTACTGTGACGTGGTGGTTGGAGTGCAGCGGTGGCATAGTTCCGTCACGTACCCGTTCCAGGAACCGTTCGAAACCTGAACAGTCACGGGTCTTGGAAAGCGCTCCGACGGCTTGCAGCGCATGGGCCGCTTCAACGTCGGTAGCGAGTCGTCCGCAAGTAGTGCACAACCAACGGCCTGCGGCTGTTGCCCGACCATCCGGACACTGGCCACCGCAGGCCACCGACCCCAGGTGAGTACCCAGTTCCACGGGATCGGCACACCTTGCGCAAGCGCACTCGAAACATTTTGCGGCCGACAGGTGCCGGCGCCGGTCTCGAGTGCACCACAGGGTTTGGGTATACGTGGCCGTGATGGGGCATCCACGAGCTATGGGCACCGCGGCCACCACGCGGATGGCCGGCTGACCGTCAGTCTCATCACCAACGAACACGTGTTTGGTGTTCGGAGTACAACAGTGGGCCATCATGGACGCGCGCGAGTACACGGCCCGGAACTTGCGGCCACCCGGCCGTCGCACTTCGAACGCGTTGGTGTCCAGCACGGCGGCCGCCTCAAGAGCGGACCGGTGATCGTGACCGTGGCCCGCCGACCGAAGGCCCAGCCGGTCCAGCACGAATGCGGCCACGTTGATGGCGTATGCACGGTACAGCGGCGTGTCCAGCCTGTCGTCTAGATGTGACTGTAGAGATCGGAACTCCACGGCCCGGCGGCCGTCCCGCTGGTGCAGCAGCAGCATGCACCGGAGCGGCATCACGAAGCAGTACGCGGCCGACCGGCGGCTATCGTAGTGGCCGTCAATCAGCGAACATTCGGCGTCCCGGTGCACGGGTGCCGTTTCGCAACGCGGCCCGCACACTGGCCAACCACATTTTGAACACCTGTAATCCGCAGTAGGTGCGTAACACGTCAGGCAGACGGGCGGCGATCCGGCCTTGGGGCCGACGACGAGCGGCCGTTCCTCGAGCAGCACCTCGCCGGCCGCGATGTCCCGAGCGGCCACCCAGTGGCGGCCCAGTTCTGGCGACTCGACCACCGAGTACGGTGGTGCAGCGCCGTCGTCCGTTGTCTCCGTGCCGGCGGACGACGACATGTAAGCAATATTATAAATTATAATATTATATTCTTTATAGTTGCTGGGACATCGGTGAGACGTCCGCGCACTGTGTTATGCAGTCCGCCGCGGCCGACTGCATTCGGCGGCTATTTCAACCGCGCCCGCCGCCCGTTCCGGTACCAAAATAATCTCAACTGCAAAGGAGAGGGGGCAATGGTCCGCGGGGAAGTACCAAAGGCGTTGGTCGTTGTCGCGAAATCCGCGCCGCACCGTATAAATTTGCCGGCGGACGAGCGTCCGGGGAGCGGTTATAATATTGTTATGACGTATAGTGGCTGCAAAGTGGTAGGTACGGCGAGCGAAGAGGGAATCGGTGGGAAAAAAAAATGAAAACAAAAAGAGGCGGCGATGACGCGTCTCGTACACGGTCTCCGCCGACGGTGTAAATAATATAATAATATATTTACGCGTATGGGCTCGTAAAACGTCCCCGCGAGGGCCTCACGAGTGCGATATTCGCGCCGTGTCCATACCGCACCGACGGAATGAAAAAGAAAAAACCCGGGGAAAAAAGCGCTTATAATATTATATTATTATATAAAGCGTCATATTTTTACGGCGTCTGTCGTTTTTTATGGAATTCAATCTTGGACCGGCACATAAACACTGTCGTGTACGTCAAGGTGGGGTGGGCACGTCGGTGGGTGTGTATGATATGGTACACGGTCGAACTTTGCTGTAAGCGACGGTCGGGACATTTGTAAAGTGTGTTTTAAGCCCGCGTGGGTGTTCAATATTTAGATGGTCCTGTATAGTTTGTCGAAAATATGGTTTTTTTGGCTTTACGCAGCGTGACAAAACTATCGATACTTTGGACGGTCCGGTTTTAATCCGGTAATAAGCTTTGCAGAATGCCCCTGACATGTATATTTGTATTCTTTTCCACCGGTTTGTTTGAAATAAGCGTAAAACTCAGCTGTTACTTTAAGTAATTAAGTATTTATAATGTAATCTGGCTACCTCTTTGCAAAATTACAATTAATTCTTAAATGGTCTATGACACAGACGTATATTTTTACTATCAAGCCCTACAGTTAGTCGAAAACCCTATCGAAACAACAACAAAACGAAACGTTTATACACAAGCGCTAATATAGGATTTCACAAGCTCTTGGGGTCGTGTGGCTTTGTTCCTTATTGTTTCTGGAAGTTTATAATATTATAAACATTTATTATAAAAAATATGTGTATCGAAATACCATTCATTAATCATTAATAGTAAAAAAATCTACAAATAAGTCGTACTCCGCTTTCGATAGTCCAAGGGCAGTGGGGGGAGGAAATGTCTTGTACGCCTAGAATCCTCTATGTTTGGACGGGCATATGTAAACTCATCTAAAATTTTGTAAATTCCCCTAAAACCATTTTGCTACCATATTACACTTACGTAAATTCCCCTAAAAACATTTTGCTGTATAAAAACAGTAACTACGTGTACCTATTTATTTATTAAAATTTCAACGCCGCAAGGGCATAATTATGATTAAATATTATGATATTATGATTAAATATTTGCTGAGATATTTTTCAGTTTCAGCCGTTCCGTTCGGATTTTTATCTATAAATACTTACAGTTCAAATTTAATCTTAATCGTTTAGGTATTCTCTTGTATAAAGCGAGATTATAGTATTGCTATATCATATATATTATTAAATTACGACAGTCAATTTTGACGGTCGATTATTTTTATTTATCTGTCGTCTGTCGGTATCAACGATATTAATTGGGTAGGTGCGTTGTAAAAATATACGATTTCTAAACTTTTGAAGACATAACAATTTAGTTTCTTCCAAAAGATAACAGGGTCTAACTATTTTTCCTTCTATTTTTCGTCGTTACTTGATACATATTATTCTGTAATACATTTATAATATTGTTTGTGTTTCGTGTGATATTTTAACATACCTAACTTGTTTATTTATTAATTAATAAATATAGGTAGGTATGTCAGAAATTCAATTTATTACCAGTGAACGCGTTCATTAATTTTATATAAAATGTATAAATATTATTTTGAATGTACATTGATTCAAACTGGCGAAAAGAAGTGGCGTTGTTGCGTTAAGAAATGTCCAGGTTTTATAATAATTTTAGAAACTCCAATTATAATATCATCAAGTAATAAGATCATAATCAAACATTTAATAGTTTTAATAAAACTAGAATGACGATGAATATGAATTTTTCTAGATAGAAAGAAAAATATATTTTTGGAGGATAACTAGAACCACCTCCACGTGGTGTCCTCTGGGTTACGCTAAGTGGTTCTAATTTTGTTTAGGGGAGTTTACGTAAGCGTAATTCGGAATGTTTTTAGGGGAGTGTACTATTAGGGGAATTTACTATTTAATTTTTTAGGGGAGTTTACATTTTCCCGTTTGGATCTATCGCACCAAGTCGCTAAAACGTGGGCTTATACACGTAGGTCGGTAAGTATGTAGGCAGGTATACCTAGGTAGATATTATGTTTGTATATATGTAGGTAGGTAGGTAAGTAGATGGACTGGCAGGCAGGGGAGGGGGTAGATAGGGGTATGTACTTATATTATATAATATTCATTAGGGTACCGCCGCCGCGTGAGCATATAAAGTCACGCGCAGTCCGTTACTTTTGCCCTCTTTGCTTGATTTGAATAAGACCCTCATATATTTAAGTAACTTTCGGGGAGACAGATGTTTTCAGCGCGTGAAACCGTCACGCGTGGTGCGAATAGCGTGTTGTACATATTATATGTATACATCGTATATAATACTCTCGCATAATACTTGCACACCCATAGACACAACAAACATTATATATATATATATAATATTATATTATGTATATCGTGTGTGTGTGTGTGTGTTTGTCTGAACGGAAACTGGCACTTGACGTCTTTTGAATGTTTAATGGACAACGTCGCCTCGTGTGTGCGTTCGAACTACAACGGACTTTTATAGAGTGTCCCGTCCGCGTGCTCGCGCTCGAATTAACGAGGGTCGACGACGTAATATTTTCCTGAATCCTAACCCGAAAACCCATCGGGTGACGGGACACTAGCTCGAATAGTGTATAGTGCAGAGGGATCGTGTCACTTGTATGTATATATTATTGTGATACACGCATAAGGATGAGGAGTGGATGTGTATATTATATTACGCGCGCAGTCACTGCTAGAATATTTATGTCGTCCGGAAAACTCTTTGTTTTTCTTTACCCACTCGCGCGAGGGGATCATTTTTGAGTATCTATATAGGTATACTGCGACAAACGTCGCCACCGATATATTATCATGTTTCATAAGTACATATATAATATATATATATATATATATATATATATTAAACCATGCATTAGAATGGCACTTGACTCTTTTGGAGGTGTTTCTCGAGATGTTCCGGTTTCTTGCAGTGCAACGCCATAATAGTATGGTCGTAGCTCAAAACGTAGAGCGGTTCGGGAACATCCAATCCCCTGACTTTTGTTTCAATTATATTAATTATAATATATTATTTTATATTAACTTTACATCAGACAAAGTGAATAATCTATGCATACACGCCGTATATAAAATATGGCATATGCCCTGCAAAGTGATCATGTAGGTACAATCACTTAAATCGTTATGCATCGTACAACCGTGTACATGTACACCACATACTTGATTTCCATAGTCCTAATACCAATGGATAATTATTCCAAAAGTATAGCAGGAAATAATATACCAATGTCGACACAGGTTGCATAAGCATAAGCCATATATAGGTACAAAAATGCAGAGGACTATTGATAGATTTATATTGATTGATAATATGCATAAATTAGATAAATTACATACTATGTTACGTATATTTACGTAACTCCGTTTTTGTGTCCGGAGAAAATATTTGTTCTTAATTTGGACATTGGAAGTATAACAACGATTGTTTTGGTATAAAAAAATAAAAATCTTATTAGTCGGCCGTTTGCTGTCTGAGACGCGCCATCAACACTTTCAAAGAGAAAAAAATAATTAACTGCAAAAACCTTATTTAGAAACTTAAGAATCGATGGTAATTAATGTTAAAATATTTGCGCCGTATTTAAATTATTTTCTCTTTTGCTCCTTGTTTAATCTTATCGTCAGCCAAGTTTCAGAATAATCTAAATAAGAACAACTACAATATTGTTAATGGTTATTTTTGTAACAAGTCACAAACTCGTTTATCGCAAATTAAACGGAGGGGAAAAAATATCAACACTAGAACTGATGACGAAAACGGACTAAATATAATAATCGATTTGAGAAAAAAAAAATTAAAACTCAATCGTCGGAAAATTATTGTAAATGTGTGTGGACGGAGATTATTTTTCGCCTATACAAGTTAATATTAATATAACATTTCCAGCATTGGTCTACCATATTGACGTGCCTACCATATGTAATATTTTTAGTATTTATCGGGTGTATTATACTTAAATGGTTTTTGAACAACACAAAATATAATATGTTATATATATTATGTTAATATTTTTGACTAGACGGCGACACATTTTTATTCTATTCCTTACAATATAATATGTTATGGACAGTATACCCAGCCTCCGTGGTTTGAAAGAAACGTCATACCGCCGAATTAGTGGAACCAATCACTGGTGATAACTGACTTTCTAGACACTGAAGTTTTCGACTTTACATTTTTTTGTACACAAAAAATACTATTTTCACTTTGAGGCCACGGGTGGATTGCTCACTTGATATTCTGTTTCATATTTTTAGCTATCTGACGAAGTCGGGTTGCTTACCTAGGTGACTAAGTTGAACATTAATCGATTTTCACTTGAGGTAACTGACTTGCTAGACACTCAAACACGTCTTTCAGATTTAAGCTTTTCGACTTTTATACAAATTTGACTTTCATGGAACCACAAGACTGCGTATACATCCTTAACAATACACACTGATTGAAATGTTCTGTATACGGATACAATTTATAATAGATATTATAACATTTG